CCTTCGATAGACTGCCGACCAGATTTCGTCGACGTCGAGTGAACTGATGAATAATTTTAGTAAAGGTGACTGGTTAAGCTAGAGCATCGAATTGTACCTAGCAGCAATGGATGGAATTTTAATGTCTAGGTCTAGTCTACGCTGAATATAGAATGACAGTATTGTGCATCAGTGCATGGCTATTTCTTCATCACTTGAACCAAAAATAATTGTGCTCGTGCATGGCCATTTTAAGTTACCTATAGACCCCTTTTCCCTGCAGCAGCATTTTGGGGACATATAGCTCACCAAATACTTAGTATTTGGAAGTTTGCTTTTTTCTGTATCCTGTACCATAGGCATATAAGGCTTCAAGAAAAAGCAGTCCAACAAAAAACTTTAAGGACACTGAAATAAGAAACTAAGAGGTTCGTGAATTGGATGGCATTAGCATCAAGTACTAGATTGGTTAGAAAATAAAGGAGATGATATGCGACTAACTTTCTGGTTATGCTTGCTTGCTCCTCCCATTCTCTCTGTCTTTTGAGGTGATTGTATAGCCCAACACTGAATCCTAAAGCTTGTGGTGACAAAATCGACAAGTCTTTATATCAGGGCAGCATATCTCCTTTCTTTTATGGACAATAATGACGCTTTGCTCATTGAGGAATTATTGGGTGCACCAAGTTTCTTGGTATTAGAAACAGAGCATCCAGTGATCCTCTGACTTGGCTGAAGGCAGTTTTGTTTCTGCATTAAGGCGGGGTATGTTAAGAGACAGGTCAATGAAGCAACCCCCTAGCTTTGGCCATGTCGACATTTCGCTAATCCTTTTTTTCTTGTTTCGTGCACAGTGCCATAAGGTTACAGATATTATGGATATTAGCGAAAGGTACCAAACTATATGCTACTGTATGTAATTTGCATTTCCCCGTGCCACAAGAAAATAGTTTCGGCACCGTATGTCTACCGAAATTCATTTCTGAAGTGGAACAACTTGAAGGAATTCATTTGAAAATGGAGTTCTACCTGACCAGTTTTCACACAAAAGATGGCTCCAGTTGCGGGTCGAAAGCGACTTGAGCCACGCTAAAATAAAATGATATATCGTATATGGTTGGGTGAGTCATGAGTGCCGTTTTGTTTCAACCACCTTTGGATTGGGTGTGTTATACATACGACATTTCTCCATGGATTCTAAAAGGAAAAACGCTAAAGCACAGCACGCTTTTGGCTTTTAGCCTTTTATTAGCAGCTCCTTTTCATTTGATTTCCATCCTTTGCAAAATGGCCACGGAACGATTGGGAATTTTGGGCACTTATATTCATCCCTCGTAGTGTGGTTTGGCTGGCTGTGACCTCGCTGCTGGGTGGAGCGTACATGTGTGGGCTACCTTGGTTGCCTTGCCGGTGCTGCTGTTGGGAGCTGGGAGGTTTCTAGTTACCTTGCTTATCAGTAATTCAACCTATCATCACACACAAATGCTCCTGTTTCGTGGACGCATTTTCTTCTAATCACAGCTGCTGTACTACAAGGAGATCTTTTTTTTGGATTTCATTCACTCGCTACTTGTTATTTTACCCCTGATCACCGATCATAGACTAGTGTTGCGTTTCATTCACTCGCTCACAAGTCACTAGGCAACGCAGCTCTTGGAACCAATCCTCGGACACGTGTGGGGCTTTACCCCGAAAATGAGTGGCGTCGGTCACGTCACTCTTGTCGTACAGGCTAACTTATCTTGCTAATATGTGTGATTGTTTTCGAAAAGAGAAGCTGAGAAGGGCTGGCACTTGCATAACCTGCATAACTTGCATAATCCGTTACGAGGGGATAATCGCACTGATACACCAAAGGCCGGGAGCATCAGAATCTCTACTACTCTCTTAGTCCCAAATTGTAAGACGTTTTGGTTTTTTTACATAATATATTTAAAAATATGAAAGTATTTTATAACTTGAAATTGAGGGAGCGAAATTTGGACTTATAGCGATCAATCTTAGAGACAACAGCTTGTCAACATCTCTTCTTTGCGTTTTTTCTGCTACACGACTCTCACTTGGTCGCACGCGCACCGCCCAGGCGCGCCCTCGTTCTCTCACTCTACACAAATACCTTCGTCCTACTTGCCTTGATTAAAACACCGTAACAATGAGTTCGACCTATTCCATGCTAGTATGCTACTCATGGAGCCTAAAGCATATTATTATATCATTTAAGAGAGAGAGAGAGAGAGAGAGAGAGAGTTAGTACTATATTTTATGTGCCTGAATTTTTATATATTTCGAGTGACAATCTTATACAACTAACTAATATATAGTATAAAAGGAAAATTCACTAGAGATAATTTATAACTTTTTCAATAAAATTACCTATTAATAGAACAAGAACAAAAAAAAAGATATATGAAATATAGGAGAAGTGGAAGAAAATGTATTGATTTGAAATTACAAAAAACAAACGAAAAAAATGAGTTTCCAGTTTTCCACACCGTGGTCCCATCAAGTCATAGACTCGTACTTCTGTACTTTGTGCGTACGGGTATGGACACTAATTGATCGCCCGTTCGCCCCTAACCATGACGACACGTGCATCGGCCATCTAGCTTCCCGAAGCCCGACCCCACCCGCAGCGACACAGGACCTCGTCCCGCCACCTTGGTCTCCCAGAGCCCCGCCGGCCGCGCTTGCGCCACCGCCAAAATCCACGATCGCCGCCGCCAACCGTTCCCAGCCCTATCCGCCACCTCCCTACCGGTGAACGCCCTCGCCGTGGCCGCCGGCCACCGCCATCGGTCGCCGCCCTGCCGTTCTCCCCTTCTGAACGCACCGATGCACGCATGTTTCAGGTACGAGTACGATCCGCCCGCCCTCCCTCCTCTCATCTTCCTCCGCACCGCACCGGATCGGGGGCAGCGCAGCGACGCGCTGGCCTCTGACGCCCCCTGGTCGCGCCGCCCTGGCCTTCGTTGCGTCGGTCGAGACGAAACCCCACCGGCCACCGCGGGCCGGATCGGATGCCGAAAGAAGCCTGGCAGGTTCTCAGACTCAGGAGCTCGCTTTGCCACCTGAATTTCCCTGGCACTGGCAGCAGCCACGCCAAGTGCTGTGGTTCAGCCAGCCAGCCAGAACCCTAATAACACGTCGCCGTGTGCAGGCTCCGCATGCCGATTGCCGGCCGTTCGCTTTCAGTTCAGAAAGCTGGTGCAGGGCCTTGCTTGCTCACACATTTCAGTTGAGGAAATAGGAGCTTGGGGAGATGCTGAACGCAACACACGTTTCAGTTGGTTCAGCTGTTTTGTTTTCTCTTGGGCTCTTGGCTGCTTGTGGTCCTTGCCGGTGGCGGCGAAGATAGAGCAACTTTGAGAGGGATGCGTTCGCTGGGAGTATCATCTGCTTGTGTCGTAGAGGGTGTATATATGATGATGAGATTTTTAAATCATAACCATCGTTTTACATTTTTTTAAGACGGTGTATTTGCACCGCATAGTCACACTACTTATGTAGCTTGGCCCCTGGTCCTGGCAGAAAGGCATTGCTATGCCACAACACAACTCTGAAAGCCTGAAACACCATTGTTTGTCCATTGATAAAAACAAATCCTAGCGACTGGCACTCAACTTGTCATCTCACTGTGAAGTAGTAGTAGTAGTATGGACCCAGATGCAAGAACCACCATTCATTTCATTAAAAAAAGAACTAGAATCCGGATGCAATTTGATTTGTGAAGAAGACTGATTGGAAGGTTGAATGAAAACCGATTACAAGTTTTTTAAAGGGTAAAGTCTAATTTACATCCTCCAACTTTCACAAAAGTCCGTATTTTAACCTCGAACTTCAAAACCGGACAACTTTGGCCCTCCAACTCTTGAAAAAGTTCAACCTCCAACCTTCTGGGCGGTTTTGCTGATGAACAGTAACTTTTGCTATTTTCAGAAGGCGCCGAAATTTTATATTATTTTTTCGAGCATCTTAACGTCCTCAAATGAAAAAACTCAAAACAACAAAGTTGTAGATCTCATCGAGGTCTACAATTTACATGTAAAAATTATCTTCATCCGACATCGTATTGAAGGGTTTTCTATTTTTTGAAATTTGAGTCTCATCACGCGATAAAATATGGTGCTGAAATTTTATATTATTTTTTCGAGCATCTTACTATCCTCAAATGAAAAAAATTAAAACTATAAAGTTGTAGATCTCATCGAGGTCTACAATTTACATATAAAAATTATCTTCATCCGACATCGTATCGAAGTGTTTTCTATTTTTTGAAATTTAAGTCTCATCACGCGTCAAAATTGTTTCACGCGTGATGAGACTCAAATTTCAAAAAATAGAAAACTTTGTAGTTTTGAGTTTTTTCATTTGAGGACGTTAAGATGCTCGAAAAAATAATATAAAATTTTGACGCCTCCAGAAAATATCAAAAGTTACTGTTCACCCATAAAACCGTCCAGGAGGTTGAAAGTTGAACTTTTTTTAAGAGTTGGAGGGCCAAAGTTGTCCGGTTTTGAAGTTCGAGGTTAAAATATGGACTTTGGTGAAAATTGGACTTTACCCTTTTTAGAACTTGGGAGAACGATAAGGCAAGCAATAAATTCATTGCACACTCACTGGCACTGCAGTGTCTCAGCCAGTCAGCCGGCCTGCTTGCCTGACTGTTCTCTTCCCCCAGCAGCTGCTGGCAGAACTAGCGCGGCCATGGTCTCCTCAGGTTGCCTGCAGCTCAGGAAAGGTTCATGCCATCTGTACCAAACACCCGCCATACTTGCAGAACGGAAGCTGCGAGCCACAAGTCTGGAGATTTGCCGGGGAGGGCCCTGCAGTCTTGCACGGCTGCAAAGGCGCCACACATATGGACGGTTCCTGATGCGTCGGCATTCATTCTTCTGCCGCCGTGCCTCTACCTCTCTGCACCCTGCTTGCCTCGAACACCTATATATATTCGTGTGTGTGTGTGCTTTCACAAGACCACAACACAAGTAGCTTGCACTGGACTACGTCGTAGGCGAACAACAATGGCGCGGTGCTCTACGTGCGATCGTAAGAACATCACTCTACCTACCCATCGAGAGACCAGAGATCCTTCCATGAACGAGCTAGCAGACATGTGATCGGCAATGTGTTTTGAATCCCCTGACGGTTTCACTGTATGTATGTATCTGCGTCGCAGGTTTCTCGAGGTTCATGGAGACGGACGAGTTCGCGGTGCCGCCACGTCCCGCGCTCGTGCACCCGGACGCCGTCGGCGTCCGCATCCCGTCGAGCGTATTCTCCCCCGAGGAGCCGGCGGCGTTCAGGGTGAGTCCTCGTGTCACTCGCCATGCACCTTCGTTTCGAGTCTTCGAGACGGCGGATCCATGAGTATGAACAGTCTGCGTGCCGGTGTTCGTAGGAACGAGAGCGGCGACACGGCGGTGATGACATGGCCGCGTCCCCGGGGTACTCGCCGTTCCTGCCGTCGTCCGCGCCCCTCGTGGGGCGCCCGGTTTCGATCAGCCTGCCGGCGTCGCCGACCGGCGGGTTCGACATCTCCAGCAGGATGGAGGCGGAGCTGCAGCGGGAGCGGGACGCCGCCGTCACGGACGCGCCGCCGCGGATGATGATGCTGCCGCCGCGCGCCCCGGCGGCGTCGGTGGCCATGGCGCTCGCGCAGCCTAACAAGATGGTGTTCCGGTCCCAGCCGATCCCCGCTGCGCCGGCGGAGGGCGATGGCGCCAACCGGGGCCACGACGACTTCGCCCGGAGCGCGTCGGCGCCGTACGCGGCGGCGACGGCGCCGCCGGCCAAGGCGCGCAGGAACAGCAGGGACACCAGCTACGACTCGTTCAAGACGTGGTCGGGCAAGCTGGAGAAGCAGATCACCACGCACCTGCTCGGCAGCAGCAGGCTGCCGCTGGCGCAGCAACAGCCGCAGCAGGGGGAGGAGCCGGAGGAAGACGACGCGGCGAGCGACCACCGCATCTCCTCCATGCCCAGAGTGCAGCGCTTCTTCGCCGCGCTGGAAGGCCCCGAGCTCGACAAGCTGAGGGTACCGCTGCCGATGACATCATCATCCATCCGTAGTGGCTCTGATCATACTACTACTAGTACTAGCGAGTCCATGAGCGTTGCTCATGCGAACGCCACGTGGCGTGCGTCTAGCCTCGCCGCTCCCCCCGTTTAGCTGTAGCTGATGATGCCGATGAAGAAGCTGACCGTGGTGCTGTTTTGTGGTATTGGTGGCAGTCCTCGGAGGAGCTGATCCTGCCGTCCGAGAAGACGTGGCCGTTCCTGCTCCGGTTCCCGGTGTCGGCGTTCGGCATGTGCCTGGGCATGAGCAGCCAGGCCATCCTGTGGAAGCGGATCGCCATCTCGGCGTCCACGCGGTTCCTGCACATCACCGTCAAGATCAACCTGGTGCTGTGGTGCGTCTCCGTCGCGCTCATGCTCGCCGTGTCCGCGCTCTACGCCTGCAAGCTCGTCTTCTACTTCGAGGCGGTGCGGCGCGAGTACTACCACCCGATCCGCGTCAACTTCTTCTTCGCGCCGTGGATCGCGTGCCTGTTCCTGGCGATCGGGGTGCCGGACCTGGTGGCGGCGACGCTCCCGCACTGGCTCTGGTACGTGCTCATGGCGCCCATCGTGTGCCTGGAGCTCAAGATCTACGGGCAGTGGATCTCCGGCGGGCAGCGGCGGCTGTCCCGCGTGGCGAACCCGTCCAACCACCTCTCCATCGTCGGAAACTTCGTCGGCGCGCTGCTGGGCGGCATCATGGGGCTCAAGGAGGGGCCCATGTTCTTCTTCTCCGTCGGGCTAGCGCACTACATCGTGCTGTTCGTGACGCTATACCAGCGGCTGCCGACGAGCGAGACGCTGCCCCGGGACCTGCACCCGGTGTTCTTCCTGTTCGTGGCGGCGCCCAGCGTGGCGTGCCTGGCTTGGGCGCGGATCACCGGCGAGTTCGGCTACGGCTCCCGCGTCGCCTACTTCATTGCCATGTTCCTGTACGCGTCGCTGGCCGTGCGCATCAACCTGTTCCGAGGGTTCAGCTTCTCGCTGGCGTGGTGGGCCTACACGTTCCCGATGACCAGCGCGGCCATCGCGTCCATCCGCTACTCGTCCGAGGTGAAGAACGCGTTCACGCAGTGCATGTGCATCGGCCTGTCGGCGGCCGCGACGCTGGCCGTGGCGGCGCTCTTCCTCACCACGGTGCTGCACGCGGTGGTGCACCGCGACCTCTTCCCCAACGACATCTCCATCGCCATCACGGAGCGCCGGCGCAGCAAGCCCCTCGTCGGGGAGAAGATGCTGCTCCGCCTGCGCAGTGCCGGCGGCAGGAAGAAGCTAAAGCAGGTGCTCTCCACCGCCCCCTCCGACGCCGCCGACCTCGAGGCCGCGCGCGTCGCCACGACGACATCGTACACGTAGACCGGACGGATGGCCGGATGAACCGGGCAGCTGTGTGTGAGCATTGATAGCTCCAGTGTTTGCTTGGTGCAGTTGTTCGTATTGGCTGCCGTGTGGCCGTGTGGGGCAGGCATAAGTGCGCTCTCGGCTCACAATCGGCAGAGGCAACAAGGATGCGTGGCTGGATGTGGATCATACCATATACGATACGATGCATGGACACGAGATACTGCGTATGATTTTGGTCCAAGGTCCATCTACACGGTGACCATGTAGCTAGATAGACGAGAGTCGCTGCTTGTTACACTGTACCGTTTCTTTTCACGAAAAATCAACCGGCATGAACCAAAGTGACAGCATGTCCCAGACTCTTTCTAAACCTTACTTTCTATTAGGCAGTGTGCCCGTGTGTTGCTACGGGATAGCTAATATTTTATACTCAAAACATATGGATCGCACGATAAAATAATAATACTGTAAAAATTAAATACCAATGTTAAAGTGATATTTAATAAAAAACAAAGTGCGTGAATTTAACACAAGTCACGGAGAGCGCGGCGTCACAGGCTCACAAACTCTACTTTATAGATCTTTTCCGTGATGTGGCTAAGATAATGTTTTATATTAGGTGGAAGAAATCTCCGATATCCATTTCTTTCGTGCGCCAATAAATCCATGAATAAGTTCCGTTGCATCTCCGTACCATCTTGTACACAGGTTTGAGTATATATGTAAATATTAGTGCCTGCCACATGGATAATACTACACTATCTTATCTTATTCGTAGGTGTTAGTCTTGTCTTCCAATGGTGCACGAGAACAATTATTTTTCAGTGTAGGAATCAATAAGGGGTCGTTTGGATTAATAACTTGGAGCAAACTAATACATAAATGATCTATATTTTTCTTCGATGCATCAACATCCTGTCATTGAAAAAAGGTTGCAAGGTTTGTGGATTAATAACTTGGAGCAAACTAATACAGAAAAATGATTATCATGGTAAAGTCCTGTTGCCTCCTTCCTTTCAATTAAACAAAATCCATTTGCCAGTTTTTTTTCACATCTAAGAGATCAACTTTATTTTCTCCCAATTTAAGTAGAAGAGTTATCTTGCTCTCTTCATGATAAGGACCTTGGTGGCTCATCAACAAAACTTGGGCAATTAGCAGACAAAGCTGCCCTGAATCAAGTCTGTAAAGCAAAGTCATCAGATACTCTCAAGCATTCACCTGATGATGAATAGAAGGGGAAATAGTTTATTTACAACCCAGGCTACTCGATGTTCATGTTTTACTACTTAGAAATGTATTCAGGAAGTGCTTTGACTTTTGAAAAAAAAGTGGTGGGCACATGTGGCGGTTTGCATACATTCCCTGGCTCTAAAATGCAATCTGAAAAGAAGAGGCATGGAGTTGGATACTTGCTGCTGCATATGCATAGCTGAAACTTATAGGGAACAAAATTAAGGACAGCTTTGCAGCTCATTTGGCAGCTGTCGGGTTCATAAACCCGGGGTCCCTAATGGGCCTGCTTCCCAGCAAAAGCTCGGCCCAGCAGACGACGTTGCGAATGATGCACAACTCCTGGGCTGGCCCAGATACCTAACCACTGGCCAGGGAAGGGCGACGCTCGCTTCCGACTCCGACCTGCTTCTTCCGATCGGAAGGCCTGGCCGAGGAGGGGCGACGCTCGCTTCCGACTTCGACCCGCTTCTTCCGACCAGAAGGCCTAGCCGAGGAGGGGCGACGCTCGCTTCCGACTCCGACCCGCTTCTCCGACCGAGAATACACCGAACCTCTACTTATAGCTCTTCTCTGACCGACGCGGTCGGAGCCGACTGGGAAACGACTAAACGGGGACTCCCGCTCGGTAAAGGACCCAAGGATCAGGCGGAGCAGATAAGGTGAGGCTCTCAACTCAACCACAATACCGAGGACCGTACTCTGCACACCTGCGGGACAGTACTATCAGGCCACGTCAGAAGGGTGCTCTGCAACCTTCCAGACATGTCAGAACACGAACAGTGTTGTGGGTGCCGACATTTGTCCTACAGTATGGTAGGCGCTGACATTTGTCATACCAGAAGAAGACAATGGAGCCTACCACATGCATCTAGGCGTCAACAGTATTATGGGAGCAGACAAAACATCTTGTACACGACAACATGGGCAACAAGACTAGGAAACACTCTCTCTCTCTCTCTTGTAAGGCCATCCCCTTCATCTATAAAAGGGGATGTGCCCTCTCCTAAAAAGACAATTGATTCTTATTCCCTCTGCTTGGCTCTAGAACTCTAAAGCCACACAGAGCATACGTTCCAATACTCATCACACGTTGGAGCTCCCGTTACTCTTGGCCCTTCGATCCGGAGTCCGACCGGACCTCTGACACCCCCATCTTACTCCCTATCGTTTGTAACCCCACAACAAACTTCAAGTACCTGGGCTCAGGAATAAAGTCACCAACAGACTCAAACTGGACGTAGGGCATGTTGCCTGAACCAGTATAAACCCTGTGTCATTGAGTGCTAGACCACATCCGATCACAACGTACGGCAAAACTACAAATATTTATGTGTTGGTCAATTTTCGCACCGACAGTTGGCGCCGTTCGTGGGGAGGACGTCGTGCGTTCATGCTTTTGGTCATCGGATGGCCCACCTTTCTGCCATCTTCGTCATGACGGGCCCAAGTGATTTGATTCGCTTTGGCTCGTTGGAGTTTTCCACGCTCCCACCTGTTGGGACGTGGGTTCCTCCTATCTTCGAGCCGTTCCAGACCTTCCTCTTTGGAAGCCTAGACTTCATCGCCAACCGGCTCGGCATGCTTCGCCTCCGCAAGGAGACACTTGTCCCAACGCCCGTCGGAGGAGGAGCGCCCCCCGCTGGCTCCGGACCACCCGATGACCTCAACGACGAGACGCCTACGCTTCGCTCTAAGCCTACGCTAGGCTCAAACCCCACTATGAGTAACATATATATTATTCTTTACTCGCTATTCGATATCTTCCGTCAACTCTCCGGAGGGACCCCATTGTCCCCACCGCAACCGCCATGCAATCGGTTCACCTACGACCTCGTGTCCCCCGCGGACGCATACGCACGGGGGCTCCGAAAGATGCTGATGCTGCCCCTCTCACATCCGAATTCATGGGGATGGTGGGCTACGCACCCGCCTCTTTCCATGACCTCATGGATGATGAGGTTGAGAGCGATGGTTCCAGCATCGGTGACGTCATGGCACCTAGCCATCCTCTGTCCTGGGAGTGTGCTATGGCGGACGCTCTAGGACAGCCACCAGTGGTAGCGGAGTATCTACAGACTCACACCCCTCCGGACCCTCGTGCGGAGGCCCTCGCGTGTGCGCAGGAGCACGGCGAGGAGCTACAACAAAGGCGGCAGAACCAGCCACCACCTGCGCTGGCACGCTCGGCGCAGCACGCTGCGCCCCATGCGCGAAACCCAGCGAGCGGCATCATGGACGGGGGGAATGATCCCCCATAGTTCGCTTAGGCTGGCCAGAACATCGCCATTGCGGTGATGCTTCTGCGCAGCCTTCCAGAGCCTGTCGACCCCTATGAGCAGGCGGTCCACCAGAACCTTCGGGCATTGGTGGAAACCACCGTCGTTCAATAGGCGGAGAGCTCTGTGTCGTGACCCCGACTCGCGGCCTCTCTCCCCACCAGGGGAATAGGGACGCACCAGACAAATCTCTCCATCCATTCACCACTACAGTCGCCAGCGCGTGGAACAGGAGGTGACCCAGCGCCCGCTCCACACCGACCACCTATGCACGAACACCCGATGCTCGCAGCGTCATCAACAATCGGCATCAAGCCTAGCTTGATGATGACGTCTATCATGGGGCAGAGAGAGCAGGCGGCACGGGCCCCGGCCGGACCATCGAGGGGAGCGGGGAAACACACCCCAGGCATGGTCGCCGATTAGATGATCGGAGTCCTAGTCCGGACGGCCTGGGACCATGGGCCTTTGGCCGTCGCATCCAGAGAGCGTCGTTCCCAAAGCGCTTCCAACCACCTACCAACATCGCCAAATATATCAGGGAGGCGAATCCTGGTATATGGCTCGAAGACTTCCGGCTCGCCTACTGAGCTAGAGGAGTGGATGATGACCACTTCATCATTCAATACCTCCCCATCTATATGGGGGAACATGTTCGAGCATGGCTCGAATTCCTCCCGCATGACAACATCTGCGACTGGGCGGACCTCAAGAGGATCTGCGTCGAGAATTTCCAAGGGACGTATGTCTGCCTAGGGAACTCCTAGGACCTCAAGAGCTGCCAGTAGGAGCCCAATGAGTCCCTACGGGATTACATCCATAGGTTCTCAAAATGATGCAACTCCCTTCCTGATGTCGTCGACGCGGACGTCATCAGCACATTCCTTTTTGGGACAACCTGTGAGTTCTTGATCCATAAGCTTGGTTGTCTGAAGCCCCGAACCACCCACGACCTCCAACAAGGAGGCGACTGGAGCGGTCTTTAGTGGTGGCCGAGACAAGGGCAAGGCCAAGCATGAGGACCAAGACGAGGGCCCCTCCACGTAAAGGGGCAAAAAGAACAAGAAGGATCGACGCCGATTGGCCAACTCTACGTTGGTCACCGTGGTCGATCGCGCGGGCAAGCAGCCCCAACAGGGCAAGCCCGATCACTTTGACAAGCTCATGGATAGCCCATGCACCAACCACGCCTACCCTGTCAAGCTCCTCTACAAAGACTGTGAACTCCTCAAGCATTTTCTGCGATAGGTCGGTGGGCCAAAAGAAGGAAAGGGCAAGGAGGCAGCGGCCAAGGAAGGAGGTGCGGTGGGCAAGGATGGGGATGGCTTTCTCGATCCCGATGAATGCCTCAAGATCTTTGGAGGATCCGATGCCATCTACTCCAAGCGCCAGCACAAAGTGCGCTACAGAGAGGCATGCATCGCCGAAACGGCCGTCCTCTCCTTCCTTAGCTGGCTAGAATCTCTGATCACTTTTGATCAGAGGGACCATCCTTCCCAC